AGTACACCTGGACGCCCAAAACCAAGGCCGTGAGTGTCTCTTCGCGTGTGGCAGGGGGGCAGACATGAGGTGGGATGAGTTGTGCCCGGTCTCAGCCCAAGGGCGGGAGGTGGGATGAGGTGGGATGAGTTGTGCCTGGTCTCAGCCCAGGGGCAGGAGGTGGGATGAGTTGTGCCCAGTCCCAGCCCAAGGGTGGGAGGTGGGATGAGTTGTGCCCGGTCTCAGCCCATGGGCAGGAGGTGGGATGAGTTGTGCCCGGTCTCAGCCCAAGGGGAGAAGGTGGGATGAGTTGTGCCCAGTCTCAGCCCATGGGCAGGAGGTGGGATGAGCTGTGCCTGGTCTCAGCCCAAAGGGAGAAGGTGGGATGAGTTGTGCCCGGTCTCAGCCCAAGGGCGGGAGGTGGGATGAGTTGTGCCCAGTCTCAGCCCAAGGGCAGGAGGCAGGATGAGTTGTGCCCAGTCTCAGCCCAAGGGCGGGAGGTGGGATGAGTTGTGCCCGGTCTCAGCCCAAGGGCAGGAGGCAGGATGAATTGTGCCCTGTCTCAGCCCAAGGGTGGGAGGTGAGATGAGTTGTGCCCGGTCTCAGCCCAAGGGCCGAGGCTGCCGGCGCTGCCAGCTGCCCACCCCCCACCTCGCCACCCCCCTTCCTTCTCCCCCAGGTTTGTCCCCTGAAGGCGGCCATCGAGCAGCTCAACACGCAGGAGGTGGAGGTGCGGATGCGACTGGCCGAGCTCCAGCGCCGCTACAAGGAGAAGCAGCGGGAGCTGGTGAAGCTGCAGCGGCGGCATGACCACGAGTATGTCCCTGTCCCCACCCCCGAGGCTGGGTGAGGGCTGGGGGGGGCAGCCCATGGGAATGGGGGAGGCCAGGGAGGGAGTGCCCGCTGCTGAGGAAGAGTGGCGGCCATCAGTGTGATGAGTTGGGGGCTGTGCTCAGCCCGGCTGGGTGGAAGGGCCCCATGGCTGAGGGTGCCCCCGGTCTTGCCGTGGCTGCAGGCGTGACGAGAGCTCCCGGAGCCCGGCGCGGCGCGGCCCGGGGCGGCCGAGGAAGCGCAAGCACTCCAGCACGCTGGGCAGGGCCGAGAGCCGCAAGGTCAAGTGAGTGACCGACGCCGCGTGCCCTCCTTGTCCCCGGGGACGGGCCACTAGCCCTGCTGCCGGGGGCCGGGGGGGTCTGGCCATCCCACCGCGGGGGTGGCATTTCCCTGGGACCCCTCGCCGCATCCCTCCCACCAGCAGCAGCCGCCACGTTTCAGGGGGTCCGGCGCGCTCCCCGCTCTCCTTGCTTGGAGGGGGAGAGGGTGGGGGGGTCTCGGCTGGGCGGCAGCACCGTGTGTCCCCCCCCCTCCCCTCCCCGCCGGCCGCGGGAGCAGCGTTGCATAAAAGCCTCTTTATCTGCGCCGTATAAAGCCATTGGTCACGCTGCAGCGGCGTTCATCGCTGCCGGCGCTTTATTATTACCCATTAGCCGCCCGGCGCAGCCGTTTCCCCACTCCCGGGCCCTGTATAATTGTCCTTCTCTGCTACAAATTGCCTCTCCCGACAGGCCCATTTGCATAAATCCTCCGAGCGAGTCCAAACACGCTTGGAGCGCGTGTGCGCGCGCGGCCCCCGGCCCCCCCGCTCGGTAATAACAGTTAAATCTGCGCTAAATGGTTCCTTCAATTAAGACGGAGGGGAAGGGGAAGAAGAAAAAAAAAAAAAAAAAATTAATCTCTAGGTTTTATGTCACAAAACATTAGTGAGCGAGTGAAGGTTATGGGAGGGGGAAGGAAAGGGGGGGAGCCGGCGGCTGGTGGTGACCAAGGGGTGCAGGGTGATGCCAGGGGGTGCAGGATCCATCCGGGGGGGGGGCAGGATGCAGCCAGGGATGCAGGATCCCAGGAGGGATGCAGGATCTGGACCAGGATGCAGGATCTGGACCAGGATGCAGGATCCTGGCAGGGATGGAGGATCTGGACAGGGATGTAGGATCCAGCCAGGGATGGAGGATCTGGACAGGGATGCAGGATCTGGACCAGGATGGAGGATCTGGACAAGGATGTAGGATCCCACCAGGGATGGAGGATCTGGACAGGGATGCAGGATCCGGACCAGGATGCAGGATCCTGGCAGGGATGGAGGATCTGGACAGGGATGCAGGATCTGGACCAGGATGCAGGATCCTGGCAGGGATGGAGGATCTGGACAGGGATGCAGGATC